AAACAACTACCTTGCTTCAGCATTACTCACCAGCCTGCTGCCATGTTAAACTGACTCTCATGTAAGAAGCTTAGCACCAGGTTTTGCTGGTTTGGCCTTTGAAGGTTTTGGGCCTTTTTGTTTTTTTAAGGTGTCTGGCAGATGAGGGAGCAGAGGAGGCTGGGAGGTGCTCAGGCAAAGGCAGCCTCTTATCTTACAGGATGTCTTGTGTTCAAAACTCATAATATGCCTACCTGTTTCACTGCCACTGCCTGGTGAGAAAGTGGCTGAATTCCCAGTTTCCAGGAAGCTGAGAACAGGCCAACTGATGCTCCTATGGAAAAAAAAAGCCAAGTCTGAATTTTCCTAATGCTTCTTTTCTGAGGAGAAAAAAAAAAAATATTAGGAAAATGCAGGTTTTTCAGCCTCACCAACTGCTTAAAAATTCTCTCCTTCCTTTAATAATAAAAGATCTTGATGCTTCCTCTTCAGTTACCATGACAAGCTGTGATCTGTTTATCATTTTTAACTGCCTGCTTTGAACAAATGGCATCTATAGGGTACAGTTGAAGGCGTAGGCGAGGCAAGGGCAGGAAAGAGACACACTGGGCACCATGGATTGTCCTCGCCAAAATCTTGGACTGGCTTGCTAATAAAGGAGAGATGGTTGCTTCATTATGAAGATCAAGTCTGCTCTGAGCCGAGCAGCAAAAAGGTAAGTGACCTACAGCTCACCTGCAACGCTCGTCCTCTAGGTCCTCTCGGCTCTGGTGAAATACTGGGTAAAAGGTTAAGGGAGAAGCAAAGCCAGGCACTGAGCATGTGCCTGGAGTTTCTGCCATGGCTAACAGGGCCCGTTTCTCCCAGCTGGGCTGTCACAGTCTGAACCACTAAACTTGATCATCTTTTCAATCTTCTGGTTGCAGGAACCTGCATAGGACAGACTTATGGTGCTAGTGGTCCATGTGCAAGTTCACTGTAAAGTGTGTTGTTGGGCATTGGCTCGATGTGAACAAAAATCAGGGTGAGCTTTGGAACTGGGCTTGCAAACCAGCTCAGGATGCCTTTGACCTCACTGGAGGTTGGAGCAATATTTTGAGAGGTGCCCCAGTCATTCCAGAACAGGCGAGGCACACTGACAGCACAGTACATAGAGGGAGGGCTGGTGTTGCATGGGGGGTTCACTTGTTTGGGCTGGGTTGAAAGCAGGTGTTTCTTGCTGATGTCTGGGCACCGCCTCTCCTGGCTCTGCTCTATGACTTTCAGTTTACTCTGAACACAGGAATGAGTTTAACAAGGAAAGTAGGAGGGCATGGCCCTAGTTAAGATCCACAGGAAGATACCCTCTGAGCCTCATTTTCACAGCAGAAAATTAAGTAGCAGAACAATAGCCGTGCTACTGCTGTGGTCATACTGGGACACATTCCCTTTTGGGATGTCTGTTCCAGAATAACTGTAGCAGTCCAGCTATGCCAGGTAAGGGCACTTTATTCTGAGGGACAGAGAGGGATTAATATGTTTCACAAGAAAATGTTTTTCTTAATGTCTTTTTTCCATACATCATTACATGTTCTTACATATGATTTGTACCTGAACTGAAATAAAACATCTTAAGATGGATTAATAAAAAGAAATAACTTACTTATAATAAAGATTTTTTCAGACAAGCCATAGATAGTGTTAAGTTGCATATACTCTATACACTTCCCTCCAGGGGCAGTATCTTTAAACATGAAAATGAAATGTAGCATGGACAGAGGATCTCGTTCCTTAAATAAAAATCTATGTCCAAAAGATTTTTATTTTGCATCACAATTATGATTTCTATAGGAGTATTAAGGGGACAACCTGTTACAATTCTAAATCAGCATTTGCCTTTAAGGTGTTTTGGTTTTGTTTTAAGACAGGCAGTTTGTTGAACCCTTCTGACGGCGCACCGCTGTCTTCATCATCACTAAATGTAACCCAGTGACTGAAATCTTTCAAGCTGGGGCCTTTTAAATTTTCTGGAGAAGCAGCTGATGGCACCTGTATGGAAAGAGGGCAGGCAGAATCCAGGTCTAGGTCCAAAAGGTTGGTGTTCTCTGGGGGGGAGCTGGTACCCTGGCCCTCTGGAAGAGGAGGGCCGGGCAGGCCAGCCCCCGATCCCTGCGCTGTGTCCTCTTCTGGGCTGGCAGAGGGCGCTGTTCCCGAGAGCACAGACTTCGTGGGGACGTGAGCTTCCTGAGCCTGGGGGCAGAGCCCAGGAGCCTTGGTGCTGGAGTTGAACATTAACCCGCTAAAAAGTGGGTTGTCGCTGCTCTGGAGAACTTGCAGATGAAGAGCTGCAGGAGCAGACTTCTTTCTTCGTGGTGGCACCTTTGGGGCAAAGGAAGTGTTTGGGGGAGGCAACGCGATGGCCTTGGCCGTGCTTGCTGAGGGGGGCTGCCCTTCACTGCCCCCTCGGCCCTCCTGCAGCTTCCCAGGTTGGGCTGTCCTGGGTTTAGGGACTGGAGTAATCTTGGTTGGACTAAGGATGGCTCCGTCTTCCAAAGAGGGCTCTGGCAGGCCAAAAGGAAACTGTCCTGGCTGCTGGTCCAACTGCTCAACTATAGATGTAGCCTAAGGGAGAAAAGGAACACGAAATTTGAGAACAAAAAGGGTACCTTAAACTCTGAGTCACTACTAGTGCAGATCTTACTGATGGCAGAGAGAAACGCTGACAACAAGGGAAGAAAAAACAAACCCAGTACAAAGAGGAGGCTTGGCTCTGCCTGCTTGTGTTTATGCTCTGCCTGCTTGGGTCTGTTCTCACACCTCATGCCTTGGACCCGTGCTTGGTTACAGGGTGCTAGCTGAGGACAAGGCTCCTACAGCCCGTTCCCTCCTGCATGAGAAACAGGTCTTCCTGACCCCATCTCTTGCTCACTGAAGGACCATGAGCTTCAGCTAACCCAAGAGATGCATTAATGACTCTGTCATGTCTCACTGATGCTGAAAGGAAGCTAAAAGGAAACCCTCAAAGTACAGCCAGCATATATTCACCATTTAAAGACTGATAAATAACAAGCCCAGCTCAGACCGAGAGAGCAGGAGCTGATTCTGAGGCCTCACCCTGTGTGACTGAGCAAAAGCATTTTAGTTATTACTCTCCCATAGTATTGAAAGGTAATATACAGACTTCTTAATGCTGTCAAAATATTACATGATGGGCCTATCCCCTGCCACTTCTGCCTATATGCTGCTGTTAAGTTGCCTGCGTTTGATTCCACGCTTTTTTAACAACAGAGGTGGACTGGGTAGACCTCTGCAAGCACACAGCTCCCACCTGAATTCACTCAGCTGGAGGAAGCTGTGGATGGAGTCAACATGCAATAGATAAATCCCTGAAGGAGACTTCATGTAAGTAACACCAAAAGAGCCACTCCCTCAGCACCGGTCAGGAAGGCCCTAGGAATGTTCACAGCATAAAATGAGACCCTTCCGTGTTATTGAATGTCTGGGGTTTTGGTTTTGTTGGTTGGTTGGGGTTTTTTTTCTTCTTTTTTGAATCTGTGAAGTAGAGATTGCACAAAGTCCCTGGCAAAGAAAGGGTGTGAATGCCTTTACAAAGGAAGGTAGGGCAGGAGTCCTAACAACTTGGAACAGAGCCTCCTAGCAGAGGTTCTGTCAAAGAAAGAATATAAAAGCTTCTGTCTGTCTCTCTCTTGTACTTAGAATTGCTTTCACCATTAAATACTCATTTTAGCAGCTCTAGAGGTGATAAGCTATTATCTCCATTGTAGAGACCTGACAGAGAGACAGATTGAAACCCCAACACCTACAGGTTTGTACTTCTAAGAACCTGAACTTGAGCAGAATCCAAAATCCAAAGTGAAAGGCTGAATCCCACTGTAAGGTGTGTGAGAAAAGTTGGCTGTTTCTGAAGAGGACACAGAACAACACGCTGGTCGAGAAGCTGCTTCCAATCAATACAGAGCAGACCACTCATGGTGTGGTCAAAAGTAAACACTGTTAAAGAAGAGATGAGACTTAAATCCTGACAAGTTTTTAGGCAAACTGGAAGAAAAAGAACAAAATAGAAGAGAATGGACTGATGAATAGAGAAGTGGAATATGGCTGAGTAAGGAGCTCGAGGCTCTTTTTCCTTCCTGATCTCCTAGCACATTTTTATGCCTTGGTGACAGCAATACATAAAATCCTTTTAGAGCCTGCTGGCTAAGAACTTTTAAGTGACAGGACTCGAGACAAACTGTTTAACAGTCCACGCCTCCTGCCATCATTCACACTGTGTAATGGAGGCCAGATGTATTTTGCTGCAATTATCTTACACTTTCCACCTTGGCTCCGGTCCTTTGCAGAGGTACTGGCTTCTTCGTGGCTGGGACTTTGGGTGGTGGGCGATGGGGTACGAGCATTGGTCCTGCCTGTGACCCTTGAAATGATGCTGACTTCGTGATGCTGGGAAGAGGCTCGGGCTTGGCGAATGTTTGGTTTCTACCTGGAGCAGGCTTTACTGCATCTTCCTGTAGTCCTGAAAAGCAAAAAAACAGTTAGCATCTGGGCTTGGTCAGAATGTGGCTTCAAGGCAATTTCTTTCACCATCATGTTGCCCAAAATGTGCATGCCTAAGGGGCACGTGCCCAGACCAGGAAGGTAGGTTTTAGAAATAAACACAGACCTTTGCAAACCCACCACATTTGTGAGAGGCAGTTATGGAAAAACTCCCCTATCTGAAATAATCTCATGCCAAAAGAGCAGTGCTGTGCCACCATTTGGCCAAGTGGATAAAACACTGGCTGGGACTTCAGGAGTACTGGATTTCGAGCCCCAAGTCTCCTTTTGCCCAGGTTTCCCTGTCTAGATAAGCAAGATAATGACACTGACCACGTCTGGTACTCTGGGAAGAACTGTAAATGGCACTTGGGGGCACAGCACAAGGGACTGCAAGTTATGCTGTCCCAACTAGTTTCCTCACCAACATTGAGTGGAATGCTTAGTGTGAATTCCAAGACTAATGGAGAGCCATCTAACTTAAAAATCAAATATACAGCCCTCTCTAAGGAACAAATGTCAAGATGCCTTTATGATGTATTTCTAATTAAATTGGATTATTCCAAACCGCCCCTGCTCTATTTACAGATAAAAAAAGGATGTTTTCTTCCTAAACTGAGGGCCTTGCAAACTCAGGTAGCTATCTCAGAGTCATTCTGCATTCTCTGTCATTCATACAGCTTCAGCAAAAACATTCAGCTTGCAACACTGGAGGGTATATTCATACCACCTCAGTTTTAATACCTAAGCCAGTTTCCAGCTCTAACCTGCCCTTGCAAGGTCTCTTCTCCAGGGGTTAGACAGAGGACCTGTACGCAGAGGAGTCTTTTAGCTTTTTTAGCTCAGCTCTTCAGGCTGAAGTGATGCAAGCTTCTGTCTAGGCTGCTATTGTACTTGCTGTCCAGAGGTGAACAGAATCCAGGTTATTACTCCCATGGCTGGGTTTGCTCTCTGGTCCTGCTTGGAATAGTGAGCGTTCACTAAACAGAGCAGCAGATAGATACCCCTTATGCAACTCTGAGCTAGCACAGGTACCATCTGTTTAGCGAGATCCCATCTTTATCTTTTAATTTTTTAGGCTAAATAACCCAAATTTTTCCTAGTAACATACAACAAAAAAATACAGCTTGAGTCATCTTGAGGTGGGGAAGGGGGAAAGGTTTAATGTTACCAAAACTGACAGAGAACACGAAGCATAATCTTGCAAGAACATGTCTGTCAGTGTTCAGGTAAGCTTCTGAGGAGAGATATGTGCATCTGGGCTATGATGGGAAGGATGAATACACTTACAGCCTGCTTTAATTCAAGATTTTTAAGAAGTCAGTCAGAAAGTTTTGCTTACCTCCTTTAGCTTCCATAAGACATCTTATAGCTTCTTCTGCTTCCTCAGCTGTGGTAGTTTTGATCTGCTTGACGTTATAAGGTTTACTTATTCCCGTCCGGACTTTAGGCTTCAAAAAACAAAACAAAACAAAACAAAAACCCACAACGTTAGAATGAGTCATCTTGAGAAGACTGTTTTTTTATTTGTTTGTTTGTTTTTTTCTTGTACACCTGTAATGTTACAGCTGAACTCACACACCTGTGAAGTGCTTGTTTTGGCAGTGGCTATTCAACAATCTATAAATACTACAGAAATGGTGGTGAGTCTTTTGGCAGACATTACATCTTTGTTACCAGCTGACAGGCACAGCTAGACCCTTAGCCATCCCTTGTTCAGTACATTAGGGTTCTCATCCAAAAAAAATGAGTCCAAGAGGAGTTTCCACATTCTGGTCTGGGGTCTATTCAGAGGGCTAGCAGCTTGCTGGCAATGGTCAAGACTTCTCTTATATGTTGGGTGGGCACTAGCATGCTCCATCAAAAAAAAAAGGTGAGAAAAGAATTAAAGCATATTGTCGTGGTGTTGAAAATTCAAATTAGCATCTGTCAGAAAGCAGCATGTGGAATAAACCAGCAGTGCCCTGGTCTTGCACCATTCTCTCTCCCCCTCCCTTTTTGGCCTTTCTAATTCCTGGCAATTTCATAACATTTTTGAGGTGTCCTGCATGTCCTACAGTCTAGTGTTACAGTACAAGAAGTTAATGTTAGCATTTCCATCTCTGGCATCTGATGGACTTCCTTCCTTGTATGACAGCTGCATCATGTAGGTGATGCCCAGTGTCTACAGTGTCTGTTGTAGATGGGGGAGATCAGGGCCACGCTGAGTGTCAGGACTCACTGGCTGCTGAGGGGCTCCAGGTAAGAGCTTTGCCGTTGCCAGGATGGAGCAGGCGCTGTTGCTTCCTGGAGAGAGGGAACCATCTGAGGGGGACTTCTTGCCTGATGTTCCAGCTGAAAGAGGAACACAAATAGCTTTTTACATTCAAGAGCTAGTGTAACATTTTATCTGCAGTGGAGCAAACACAATGTGCCTTGAAATTGTGATAAATAAAAAAGACCGTCACTCTTCTTGCCCTTCCAGGGAGAGACATACTAGGCAAGACCTTCCTGTAGGACAATGGGGACCTTGAGTCCCTCTGCTTGAATGCCAAGAGCAAGACACTTGAAACTAGGAGGAATGATGGGCTGAACTGTTAATGGTTTAATATAAGGAGGAAAAAAAAAATCTCAGCACAGACTAAAATGCTGACATTTTTAACTGTATCAGTAAGCAGTTTCCTAGTTAGTCTTGCTTTCATCTAATTAATTTAATAACTTCAGCTAAGCATTAACATTGCATTCTAGGCATGGAAATAGATACCACCGTTGTCACTTCTGTGCAACAGACTCAGAAATGAATGGGAATAATCCCAAGGAACTCATCTTCCAGCAGTGAGTCTGACAGAACCTTTAATTTAAGGCTGGAAAATATACACAGAAGAGAGACTTCTGAGCTGCAAGAAAAATGTGATGTATAGCTTCTGTCATACGGAAGGCAAAGATGATTGTGCTGAGCTAGCACTCAGTAGCCATTAAAAAAAAAAAAAAGTAGCCATAAAAACAGGAGCAGAACACCGATAGCATCTCAGGCGTACCTCAGAGCCTAAGTAAAGAGCATCACTTCCCCTTTGTGCCTGAATGAAAACCATAAGCCACTTGGCTTTTCTTTCATAAACAGAGAAGCAAGCAAGAATTGCTTGCAAAGCAGGAAAGGACAACACCTGTCTTGAATAAGTATTCTGTCAAAGCTTTTTAAAAGAGAGATCACAATTAGGTCATAAAAAACAAAAAAAAACCCCGACAATTGTAAGAAAACACTCAGTGACTTTGGAAGTCAGCAGGCATAACTACTGATATTTATTTTTATTGTGACAAAGTGGCTGGTCAACTCGGTAACCTGAGTGATGAGTTAGGATGAAACATATGGGCCATTCCATCCTCACTAAAGGCATTTTGTTGTGGAATATCTGTCACCCTAAAGACAAATTTCTCCTGTTCCTGACTGCAGCCATAGTCAGACTGAAACAGACTGGGAAGCAAGGACAAGGACCTCAACAGCCTGACATTTCAGAGCAAGGTATTTGTTTGTCACCCAGAACTGTCAGGCAAAACTGTCCAGCTGGTGCCAAGGCAAGGTCAGAGAACGTTAAACTCACCGGGAGGAGGAGGCCTCTGCGGTGGCTGCAGCGGCCGAGGCCTGGAAGGAATGGACAGAGACCTGCTTGGAGCCCGGTGGTGGCAATCCCCTCTTGCCTCCAGATCCCTCTTCAAATCGGCCAGGTCTGCATCATCTAGGGAAATTACAGAAAGGATCCTTATTAGATACCCACTGGGTGAGGAGATGCACCTAATCTGAGTGGTCAGGAGAGAGGTGATTATGAGTGGTGGAGCCTCAACTAGATCTCTCAGCAACACAACGTGACTGCTGACACAGACTGCCTGCATCTGATTTCAGGCTTACTAGTCAACTTGTTAGATTCTGAGCTTTTCACAGACAGACTTGGTGGCAACCTGTTCTCATTCAAACTGTGCCATGGCAGCCACAAGAAGGCTAGTCATAGTCCATCCCTTGTTCTTCCCTCCCAAATATAGGAACCCCCTCTGAGGGTCAGAGAACTCTCCTTGCTCAGGAGAACTGTTTTTATACCACAGAAAAATCTGTCTGAATGGGTCGCTCATCACATCTTAGCTTTCCAGCAACATCTCCTAACCGGTACAGCGGGCTCAATCTGCTAGCCCTTGGCTGCATCTTACATGACTAGTCTATTACAGAGGCTTTCATCCCATCTAAGCCTCTCTGACAGCTGTCAAGGAAAAAAAGTAGGGAGTGCTTCAATCTCCCACTCTGATGAAGCGAGGGCTTTCACTTCAGTTCTCTACCCCCAACACTTGCTGCCAAGCCATGCAGCTCTCTTCTTCAGGGCTCCAAATTCCACTGGGTTTAGTGGCGTCCCTGTGGTTTTGAGAGGACAGTGAAGGAACCGTGTACCAGCAGCCTCTCCTGGTTCAGGCAAGTTCCTGTTTTTGGGAAGGCTGTGCTCTGCAGGGAGTACTGAGCTGCCTCACAGTTTCCTGCTCCCACTCAGCAGCAGATGACAGCCACAGAGACACAGCCTCTGATCTGCCCAACTGACCCACCCCTTCTCTCTCCATCTGCAGTGCTGAGCTGCAGACAGGGGCTCACTGGTAGGATCCCAGAAGTCATGCAGGCACTCAAATGCACAGCTTGGAATTCTGGCAGTAACACTGAACCCAAGACAAAAACCCTTCCCTTAAAAGGCTGCTGGTTTTAGGCAACAGCTCCCAGGGACATCAGTTTTATAAGGCTGTGCCCTCCTCTGGCCTCAGGAACACACATGCACACCATTACACCCATTGTTTCCATCTGTGTCTAACACCAGCTACAAAATCACCATACCTTTGATTAGGAGTTACTTAGGTAGAACTAGAAGCTTAAGGAGGCATCTGAAACTGCACAGACTGTCAAGATGGATTGAATGTATCATATTTTGAGTTGTATTAGATCATGACCCCTCCTTGATCTCTTTCAAACTATACTTTATAATCTCCCTCTACCTTGTGATACTTTTTTTTGAGAGGAGTTAGTGTGGGTGAAAAGAATTACTGCAATTCTCTGTAGCTTAATGAATCATCACACAGTAGGCCAGAGGTGTTTGGAGGGCAAGGCATCCTATAATCCAAAGTGATTGGCTTCACAGTATTTAATAATGACAGATTGCTCCTTGGCTCAGGGCTGGGTTTCTGGGTCTGGCCACACTGCACCCAGCCTATGACTCAAGGTGGGCAAGAAAGCCATGTATCACTCCCTTTGGAAAGTCTGTCTCTGTAAACTTAGGAATTTCATTTAATCTCTCTGAACTCTACTTCTGACTCAACCTTTGAAGGTATTAATGTTTTCACTGGTATGTCAGAAGACAAAGCACTTCTGAGAGAGTGCAGAAAGACAGCTACTGAATCACTTGCTGTCATGATGAAGTGTTTAATATGTGACCCAGCCTGTCAACACTTGGTCACCACAGCATGTCCTAATCCCAGCATAAGACCACCACTGGCTTGGCTAGTTCTTGCTGGAGTTTTTATCTGAATTCTCTTCACAGCTTTATGTTCTCTTTACCAAGTCATTTCACAACAATGTGCAAAGAAGCCAGGGGGCCAGGAAGAAAGGTAACGCATTTGTGAAGCACTGAAAGAGTGAATATACCAGCTGTGTGAACCTTGACTTCTTCAGAAATAAATAAAATAGAAACAAAGAAGACTCTTCAGTCTTCTCTGAAGTAAGTCATATGAACACACCCACCTCCTGGACTATCTCGGTTACACCTGACTGCAATGGCACAGCTATTGCTCAAAGGACAGGGCCAAACCCATCACTGAAGCAACAGGATTCCAAATCTTGCTCTAGCCCTCACCAATAAGAAGATAATGGACAATTTCTTCTTGTATGCTCTGGTGCTGAACAACATCAAAGGGATAAAAAGACGTAATTTCTCCTGACCATAAAAGGAAACCAGCATTTCTCAGCACTCCTGCCTTATTCAGGGCTAGAAAGGAGGTGGATCTAAGCTTTATTGTTTGTATTGCTGTCAAGCTTGAGGGCCCTGGTTACAATCACTAACTCAAGAGGGGTTAAGCATGAACATGTATAAAAAACAGATGACTTATCTTTAGAGAACCTACAATGAAAATAGAAATAATAAGGAAAACAGAGACAGGGGGAGAACAAACAACAAACCTTCAGGTTTTCTTTTAAGGAATGCAGATAATTTACCTTTACACAGCCGTGGGCTTTGACCAGATTTATTTGAAGGATCTATGGATGCAAAATGTCCACAGCCCTCAGGCATATCTTCCGCTGCATCTGCTACTAGGTCTTGACACAAAGCATCATCTAAATAATCATCTTCATCCTCTACTATATCACCTGAATTAAAATATTACATAACAAAGGTTTAGTAAGCAAATGCATTCTCTCTCTCTCCTACCAATCAATGAGTTCAGTGTGTGCTGGGCAAGCTTCTTGTGTAACCCGTGTGTTTGATTACAGTTTGTTTCTGTACAGACAAGCACACCACACGTGGCACTCGTGAACATACCCTGAAACACTAAATTGACAGGACGATGCAAGCAACAGTTCTGGGTACAGTGCACAGTACTGGGTCATGGCTTTAGTTACAACCCTCTTTTTAAGAGGTGTGCCTTCATTATAAACCAAGATACCCCTGAAGCTCATACTGTACCTTCTCTGTGCGACCAAAGTCAGCAAAGCAATTTCTCACAACTTATCTTAGAAACCTGCTGCTCACCTTCAGAGTCATAGTCCAAACTTGAGAAGTCAAAGTTTTCTTCCAGAAGACAGGAGTTTGCCGTGGGGGACACAGGGGCAATGCTGTCCCGTTTTCGAGCTATCTCCTCCTGAAGGCCCTTTAGCCAGTCCTTGGTCTTGGGGTGGATCTTCACTGTCCTGCCTCTGACCTAACACAAAGAAAGAATTGTTTCCCCTTTGCCAAGCAACTTCACAAAGTGAGACCACCTGAACAGAATAAGCAAGTGCTGCCACTGCATTACATAACTGCTTCAGAAACTGATTCAACTAAACCTTCATTTCAGAAGCTAAATGAAAAGGAAGCACTCTTCCTGTCCCCATAACCAACTTTTCAGACTGTAACAATATTCCTGAAAGAAAAGTAGCTTCACAGCTCGAAAGCACTGCTGCTGTATTTGGGAAATACTTGAGAAATTGGTGAAGCGAAATATCATCAAAGCAACACTGTGATGGTGATCATGGTATGGGACAGTTCCATTTTTGAGTCAATAGCTATAAAACACACAAGAATTTGATACCTGTTGCCATCTCTAAGGTGACTCTTTGCTCAGGAAATTCCAAATATGATGGTTGATGTACAGGCAAAGTATATTATTAAATAGATTAAGACTACAGCTGCTTGTAAGTGTTGCCCCACAACATTTGGGGTGAGTTCTATCCAAGGCAGCATCTTTGGCAGCAAAATTACTTTGGAAAGTTCCTGAATAAGGTTCCCAGCACCTTCACACATTATGCACATACAAATGTGTTTGGGTCTTTGCTATAAATTACATCAATTAAATAAGCCAAATCAATAGATCCACCAAATATGAAAGAAGGAGGGTTAAAGCCATTACTTCAATGTTAAGTTTATAGTGCAGCATCACAAACAGTTTTGTCAGCAAAAATGAGGGGGTTGATGAATTGTAGAGTATGCGCGTGGGAAGGAAGAGCAGGGGATGGTGAGGTGAACGCCTACTGCTAATGCTGAGCCTGCCATGGAGGCAAATGAATCATGTTGTTCCAGCTTGGTAAAGGGTTTTATTTGATGCACTTAAAGAGAAACAAAAATTTTCCAAACCACAATCATGAGGATGCTTTGGCAACGGTACAAAGTCACACAATCTCAGGAGAACCGCTTCAAGTGCCAGTGACTGAGTCCACGTATTTTGCAGTGGTATTAGAGGCCAGATACTAACCACTGCTTAGGAGCTCCAGGAAAAGTCACCTCCCACCCTCCTGAAACTGAAATACTGCATTTAAAGCCTCAGCATCTGTGAAAGCTAAGGATTTTGAGAGCACTAAGTTTCTTTTAAAAAATGCTACTTTATTTACCTAGAAATTCAACTCATTCTAAGCTTTTTTTTCTCTAAACCACTTTTAAGAAGTCCATTATGAAATTTTTATAGGTTTGAGAGTCTTACTTTGACACCATCTATATCCATAACACGAAGAGCTGACTTGCTGTCTGCAAATGTCACCAGCATTTGACCTCCACTGATCCTAGTAAAAAAAAAGGCAGAAAAACCAGTGCATTTTATTTCACCATTGAATGAAAAGCTTTAAAGGCAAGCATGACCATTTCATACAGTTATGTATTTGGTTTTAGTTGTATTTTTCTTACAACTGTATTTTTGGGGGAGGAGCAAGTGATCTATGAATCCCAGCTGAGCTGTTTCTTCCTCTGCCCCATCTTCCCTCGAGTGACTCAGGGGCACCTTTACTGGATAGCCCGTGAAGCAGCAGTACAAACATCTCAGCAGCTGTTGACAGGACACCTGGTCTGATATCCTTACTCCCTCTGTACTAACTTCCATGGCTCTGCACACCCCTCCCCTTGGAGGACATGACGTTCCCAAAGACTAGTATACCATCAAGCCCTATAAAAACAAAATCAGCTGTCAGGTTTTTTGCCTGTATTTCTCAAAAGTCTTACAGCTATGCTGGAGCCTGGTACAGAATCAACCAGAATGAAATGAAACTGCTCTGTCAGAAGGTATCACACTCTCCTTCTCAAACTTCAAGAAGCCATGGCTATTAAAAAATAACCAAAATGACGCCAAAAGAAAGGAGAGCCAGCCAGGAAAGTAGCTGTGCAAGAGTGATGTAAGAGAGCAGACCTCCTTGAAGGAAGTGAAGCAGGGCCCCAAGCACCTGCCCCCAGAAGCAATGCCTGGAAATGAGGCCTGAATCCAAAGGTGATGACTCGCATCAAAGATTCTACTTTATGGTGCTGTACTGAATAGAACTCTCCACTCAGCCAAGAGAGCAGTTAGACTATTTCTTTAAGAGGTTGCCAAGAGGTAAAAAAATATTCCAAATGCTTGCATTCAATTTCTAATGAAGAATCCAATTTGCAGTAAAGGAACTCAGCATACTGCTTTTTAATACAAAGTCAATCCTGTCGGGACAAAAAAGGCAGTTTCCAGTCTGTGTGTGGTTTTGAACAGATGACATGCCATTTCAGATCCCAGACTTACCTGACCAGAACAATAGTGCCATAATCCTCAAACATTTGCATCAGCTCTGCACGCAGGTCCTCGGGAAATTCATTTTTCTCTTCTGGCAGTGGTGATAGCAGATTTACCACCACTGTGGCATCCAGTGGTCCTTGGAAAGATGACACTTCCTGGAAAACACTCTCACGGGCAGCTTGATTAACTTCCTGAACTTCCACTTCTACAATAGCTAACACTGGCCTATGTGAAACAAAGGAGAAATATTTATTTAAAATTAAGATCAACATCACCCAATAGAAAGTGCTTATATAAAATCAATGGTAAGCAGTAGAGCAGTAACAACTTAGTTGTGTGAAGAACAAAGTGTCTTGTTTAAACTCTACATATCTATGATAGCTTTTAACACCACGTCATAACAATTTTTAAAAAAATAATATTTAATATTTAAGCCTGTTCTACCTTAGAAGGAAGTGTTATGTACACTCTACGCAGAAAGAGAAGTGGAACAAATCACTTAAGGTGTCACTGCAAAAAAGCACTGCAGCTGGCAATACAAGGCAGAAGTTCAGAGTTTGATGGACTGTTTCATTTTTCCTGCAGTGGAAGATTTTGCCTTGAGCACACTGTTTACAAGCCCAGCGTTAGTGATTGTAACAGTGAGGAGGACATGCCATAAAGGAATTCAAATAAGAACTGTAACACTTTTAGCAAACCTGCCATCTACAAATACCAGGATACTTCACTCATCATCAAACTGCTGTCTCCCAGAACTCCCATAGATTGGGAAAGCAGTATATTATTTTCTGTTAGACAAGGCCACATAAAGATGTCTTCTTCCCAAAACTAAGGACAAGGTATTCTAAAGTGTATGATGTGGTTATGTAGCAAACAAATGTCAAGCCATCACATTATAAGCAGTCAACACTGCAAATTTATTTCTTCAGCCATTACTTACAAATTAAAACTACAAAACTGAGAATTCTGTCTGAAAGAGTATAGCTTGTCTCATCTCAGTGGATGCAATCCACATTCTCAGGTTTCCACCTGCACATACACACAAAGCAGTAATGGGGGTGGCTGCTCTTCTAACAATGCCAAAATTGCTGCCTCCTACTTGCAACTGAGCAGGCTCCGGAATATGCATTAACAGAACATAGGGAAGCAACAACAGCAGGGCTAGAAAGGAATAGTAATGGGGAAGACAACATATAGGAAGTGTTGTCTATTTCTATAAGCACAGGGAATCATAATGCATTACCATATGTCACAGAGATGTAGCTAAGCCCTTTTTCCAGCACAAACCTTGGGAAAGCAAACCTGCTGCCTGCAACCAAAAAGCAGGTTTTGCTGTCAAGCTTGCTGAAGGAGGAAACCAACGTACCAGAGCCACGTTCTGCAGGCTGCGTCCTCGGGGCCCTGCGCCATGAGAGCAGCAGTCCCACCACGCTTTGTGGGACACAGCAACGTCAAAGCCCTGACGCAGAGAAACGTGTTGCAGGAGGCAAGGGCTTCCCTTGCTGGAGGGGCACACAACAGCCCCCGCGTGCAGGAGCACCCCAAGAAGCATGGAGCCAGCTATTGTGGAATTCCCATAGGGCGTGCGAGGGGTGAGACAAGGACTATTTGAATGCAAGGGACCTTTCAAGGGGTACTTGTTATCAGAGAAGTGAAGGGGGGACAAGTTTAACAAAGAAAGGTCATTCATGCCACTAGATTCTCTTTAGGGATATGGACCAACCGGAGGCTCTAGTGGCTCTTCCCAATACCTCCCTACTCTGAAGAGTAGGGAGCCTGGCCCTATGTACATGACTTATACAGTCCCACCCTCCTCCTCCTCCTCTCCCACAGCAAGCTGAGTGGGAGTCCATCAGAGTAGCTTATTTTGGTACCAGAGCTTTCCGAAACCAAGTAACAGAAAGCCCTCAGTTTCCCATACCTGTTGCTGCAACTTATCCAACCCTTGTTGAGATCAGTGTAGCAGACCACAGATACTTGCCGCCCTGGTATAAAACCCACCATGGGGGAAAAACAAAAACCACCCAATGGATATTGAATACAGAATAAGGGTGTAATTCCTGTTACAACCAGACTCAGTCTCTCACCTCAGAGGGTGCAATTCAGTATGACATATTCTAACGTAGCAGCCCTTTCTCTCATTATTTGATTAGAACTTTACCTGTGGTCAGATGCTTGCAGTTCTGCTCTCCCATAGTACATCAAGGCTCCAGGGGTCCAGGTGTGCCTGACTTTAGTTTCAGCATTCAGATCACTGTCTAGAAGATTGATCTCTCCAGCTACAAAGCACAAAATGTGATTTAAAACTCACCCAAAGCTAATTTTACTAACAGTGGAAAGCCATTTTATTCGATGCACTTCACAGACACTAGTAATGGGAGGTGGGTTTTTCGTGTTCTTGTACATACACTCAAAGAGCTTGTATCCTAAAAGATTTACAACTTAGGGACAGGAAAAAGAAATACAGAAAGGACACGGAGTGCAACAGAGACAGCTGATCGCTAGAGTAAGACACCTGCAGAATGGTTAACCTGAATGTCACCCAGCCAATCATCTGGACAGTCTGGGCTGGCTCAGTCACATTAGTATCTCCTTCTGCCCTGTTACTGAGCATAGAAACAGACTCTGTACTTGCAAAATACACTGCAAATCTAAATAATACACAGGTATTGGTGAAATAATACACATGAGATGGGAGGAAGCAAACCCATGCAAATTCAGCCTCCAAGTGCTTCTTCTGCAGTGTATTAAGATGACAGAACATGCTCCAGCTATTATGCTCTAGTGAGGTATTATACTGGTTGTCAGTAACAGGAAAGGTGTTTCACCTAACCATTTGCACTGGGGCTGTTGCCCTCTTCTCAGAAGGCAAACAGTCCTCCAGCCTATAGCAGCAAATCGAAGTAAAGCAAAACAGTTAGAGCTGAGAGGGAGAGCAGCCTTGCTGCCAGCAGTAAAAGAGAGGAATTCTGGCACTGAACTAACTAGAAAGGTTTTGTAGGGCTGGGAAGGTGGGTGAACACACAAGGGGTCAGTTATATACCCATGTGAGCTAGTGTGGGAGGCCTACAAGCTCTAAAGAAAGGAACCTGCCTCAGCTCTTGCAGACCAGCTAAATAGGTCTTACGTTCTGTGCGTACTCCATCAACTAAAGCCCTCCAGAGGCAAACCTTTCCATGCAAAATAAGGAAAATGCATGGAAAATGCTGAAGGGTTTTATTTCTCTTAAAACGAAAACAGCCAGCACAAAAGGGCTGGTTTAAACTTCCTTATTATGTCTCATACAGTTTTTCTTTCCCAGATTACATCTCTGTCAATGATTTAAACTCCTCATTTTACTTTATTTTTCATTCCTTAAATTAGAGTGGATAACTCTGTATCACACTGACATGCACTCTCTGATTGCCTAGTTTTGCTTTATAGTTTTCACTCTTTGTACTCACGGTATGACTTGGATTCCAAGCAGTAGTTCCCAGGCATGAGAAAAAAAACAAACAAACACACACATCTACAGGCCCAAAAGTACTTCTCCAGAAACTACACGTCTAATATGAATTTGTTCAGACAGACTACTGCAATTTTACTATGTCTACAGGACACATCTAAAGACACCTCTCAGTCCAGAACCCTTCCTCACCATTCACTAGATTAAATCCCCTTATGTGGGGTATGGATTAAATTTAAAACAAATTCCAGATCAAGAAAGAGGAAAGATCCTACGTACCTGTTTTTTCAAAAGGCAGTTTCTTTCTCCACCAAAGGACTCTGTCAGTCCAAGCTGGGGTTCTGCATTTATCGCTCGTATCGTAAGCCTCTGAGCCAACATCATATTTATATGTTGGTCCAAAATTAATAGTCCCTTCATGGAAATCTTTAAAAATCTGTGAAAACAAACAAATACCATCTCTTTGAATAAGTTACAGATGAGGAGGGTGCCATTGTGATATATCAACTTCCTTGCAGACAAGCAACATTCTGATTTTTAAACAAATTAATACATTCAGATACTACAAACAAGGGTCTGAAAATGCCACTTTTTCACTTGCTCAAGGAATTAGACCAAGCCAACACACAGGTAGTCAAGAAAATGAGACACACTGCCTTACTTTTCCACTGGATTTTTGCTGTTGCAGTTGATCAAATTCCAGAAGCGTCTTCCAGTCTTGACGTTTGAGGAGGTAGAAGACTTCCTCATAGGTCAGGTCAATGCGATAGTTAAAGTCTCCACACCAGAAGACATAGTCGTGGGAGAACACGCTCCGGCCCTAGTTCAGAGGTACAGAGTAACCTGCACGTTCATCACGTCCACAAAAACACCTTTCAAATGCACTGATGTGTACAACTCAGCCCCTCTGAATTTCTAAGCACCAGACTACTCGTCACATTCGATTTGTTAAAATCAATCTGTGCTGAAATTGAATGGTCCCTTCACTGTCGCTGGCACCCCACTAAGCTGAATTTTGTGAACAAGACTGTCAGACTCTGACCCCTGTTTCCTGAAGGTATGTCTCCAATGGAACCCCAGCTTTATAGTCACAATCTGGCTATCATAAATATTAAAAATCTGTTTGTTTCCATAACACATTGGATAGACATAAATTTATATATTCTAAATAGAACATAAAATGTCCTTCAGGTGCCAAAGCACATTTGGAAACAAAGGTCCCAAGTAAAAACAAACACCAAATTTGATCTTAGGTGCACATCATAGTTTTGTAAATGTACTGAAATACAACATCAAGGAAAATTCACTCCAATTCTAAAGTTTAACAATCTATCCTCTAATTGTTTTTTGTTTCTTTTTTGGGGTGTTGTGTTGGTTTGGTTTGGTTTTTCAGTTGAGTTCTAAAGCCCCAAAGATTTCTAAAGGAAATCTTCCAAAGCTGTGGCTGTCGCAGCACTAGAGGGCACTCTTTATTTACATTGTACACACTAAGTACATTTAGCTGTTGCAAATGTAAAAAACATAAAATAGTTAATGAGATATTAGAAGGAAAAACTACCATAAGCACAACTTTACGGTCATTTGGAACAGATATTCTATGCAGGACGTTCAGATTGTCAGTATTAGTTCTCACAGAAACCACTTGATCAATACGGTGTATATGCCAAGCCTCTAAATATTGTGAACAACAGGGAGTTAAAATTTTATGCTTTGCAACCTAAATTCCATTTTTTTCCCACTAACGAGAATACACAAACTAGTCTTTTCCCTGCCTGGTTTAGGACCTCTCTAGACAGGTCTGAGAAAGAAAGCATTGTGGAAATTAAGGCAACAAAGATTAAAGGAAGCAAAGCAGCAATGCTATCAAATCTCATGTATTACCTGCTGGCCTGAGGAGACACGTGTAAAATAAAACACTAGGGTGACTGATTTGACACCATCTGGGGGAAAAGCTATTCATACAAACCAATAGTGCCTTGTCACACGCTGAGACAAGCCAGCAGTTCCTTGACAGCGCCACATGCATGAGGACAAAATGAAGGGAACAGAAAGCACCATATCAATGACCAAGAACTGAGATACCACCTGAGCAGGAGCAGCTAAAGCACTGACCTACTCAACGGCACAGCTGGTCTTTTAGGCACTCATCCTGAGCAGTGCCAGCAAGAGCTATCAGTATGCTCCCCAGCACTAACAGCAGTCACCTCTACCTTGTCTGTGAGGCCTTACAGATTTGTCATCTCAGTTGCATTGCTCTGAAAGATCAGCCTGAAAACTGTTCAGAGGTGAGGACTTTTCAAGCACTGCAGCCAACTATATTTTTTGAAAGGTGCAGAACTTTAGTAAAGCAAGTACAAGCCACGCTGGTGGTATTTGGTCTCCTGTGAAACATGCTTCATTTTCTTTGTTTCTTTTCTTTACCTTTTTATTTTATGCCCATTCTCCACAGCACCGAGATTAATTCTTCGATGATTTGTCATCAAAGACAGCCTTAGACAGCTTTCATAATGTAAAGATAACAGCCTTTATCTACAATGTTTTATAGTGTAAATATACCTACACTTACCATTGGGAAGCTCAGTTTCTGTGTGATTTCTTTATAATCTTCATTCCTCTCTTTCACTTGAGTCTGCCCAGCAGTTAAGTGACTGCATATAAAGCAGAAACTGGTACTATGGAACTGAAAACGAATGCTCACTGCCCCTTTATTTCCAGCTTTTCCTCCCATTCCTGTCTTCACAGTGTCTACTGCTACATCCCTGTATTTATTATTAAATAAAATTAAAAAAAAAAAAAAAAAAGAAAGAAAAAAATGGGGAAAAAAAAGTAAAGGGCTGCAGGGACAAAATATTCATTTGACTTTGACTGCAGTATCAAGAAAAAACTAGTTTACAATGCTATGTCTTCTCTCCTCCAGAAAGCTTGCTCCTTTTAGGCACCATCTTTCAGGCTGTGAAGGTTCTTTATGATGTTCACGTGTTATACTTAATTTGAAACATAACTACAATAGTATTGCTGTATTCGATTATTTCTGAAATACTGGGAATTTCTGCAGAACACACTTTTCAAGTTTACCTCTACTATGATCTTTAAAATAGTGACAATAGCTAACTTTACCATTACATTTCCTTTTACTTTTGAACATATGGTAATCTGCTTTTCAGAGAGTTAACCATTTAATTAGTGTTACTAAGTGTGAAATCCAACTTTGCAGATGAGGGTGGATTTTTCAGTCAGTTCAAGAGCAACAGATGATAACCCATAATTTGTTAAACCAGGTGCAGTAATCGATGATTGCTGGATACAACTATTTATACCTAACTCCTAAAATGAGTTCTGTACTGGTAACAAATTGCTTAGGGCTTCCACGTTGTTAATTACATAGTATTTCAATGTCACCATTAGCATACGCTTTACTACAGAAAGATGACTTGGCAAAGCAGACCACCTGCTCACAAAATAATTTCCCCCAGATTACTCCAACAATAAAGCATGCCTGTCTGATCAGATAAGTAAATGATGAGATCACTGCTTTAACCAATCCCCGCACTGTGCATGTCCTTCACAGTGGAAAAAAAATTTACTTTCCAGATAGAAGCCAAGCAGATCTGGACTAGGATATTACTGGCTTTAAGCAAGAGCCAGGCAGAAAACCACTAAGTCTTCTTTGAGGTATTGTCCATCATTCATGATCTGAATGATGCGAGATGTTACAGGCTCTCTTTTTTCTCTCCTCGTCAGTTTCTTCTTTCTCCTGCCCCCGCCCCGCCTCCAGCTCTCCCTTTTCAATCTTTTTTCTCCCTTTTCATTTTCCTCTCTTTTCCTGCAGAAAACACACCCTCAGGGAGGCAAAAGAGGACAGTTAATGTCTCCTATGAAAAGGTGGAGTTTAAGGCACTCCAAAAGAAGTATGTGTTCAGCCTTTCCACTCTAAGTAGCTGTCCCTCCCTACTGCCTGCCTACCCAATGGCTAATATTTAACTGCTTTGCATTTGTGGCAAAGGTTATGTGGAGATAAACCACTGGACATTCAACTGCTTGGATTTCATCAATCCATTCTCCTCTGTATAAGCTTCAGCTATTCTCTCATTTTATTTTTCTGTTCTCTAACTTCTGTCCTAATCTCTTCAGTTTCTGTGAGTACAGAAACCTTTTTTGTGCTTCTGATTATTTTTGTTTTCCTTTTCTAGACATGGGAAAAACTACACAAGCATACAGGTTAGGCTTCATTATGCTCACATAACACATGCACATTAGCATTAAAAGATGAAACCTGATCACTAAAAATCAAACCCTTCCCTTTTCCTCTCGAGTTTCGAAGTGCTACATCTAATTCCTACCCATTTGACAGCTGCAATACAGCCACTGTGCTGTTCTGCTTCTGATTTCCATTTAAACCATGCACTTCCTGCTGGATTACTCCAATTTCCTGCAAGCCAGGTGAAAAGTCAAAACTGACAGAAACACTTTTCCTGTGGGCTCCTGTGTACCAGCAAAAATATGTAATTTTTTAAATCATGTTGAAGAAAAATTCCTGAGAAAGCAGCAATGCAAGACCATCAGGGTTACCTCGGCTGCATTACTCTGCCTAGTCTATGGCACTTGATGTTGCACAAGCTCTGAACTGGTCTTCTCAGTAGATACAAGATCAGAGGGAAGAAACTGGCAGCTTTTGCTATTTTAATCACAAAATGCAGTGGCCAATTAGTGCCCCTAACTGTTTGGATCACTCTAGACTTCAGGGTCAGACAGATGCCCAAAGATATTTTTGGCTAATTATTCACTTCTGACTATTTACACTTAGCCTGCATAATTCTTGCCCATGACAAAGGCATTTTAATGCAGATATCCCTATGGCTTGGTAATCTTCCAGGGGCAAGGAGAGTTTGGTCAGTCTCCAGGGACATCTGTGGTGGTAAGAGGAGGACACACAGTCCTGCACCCTCCTGACTAGGCACATAGTTCTGTTTCTTGTGACATCTGAGAGAGACAAATACTCAGTGGGCCCTTACAGCCCTCAATTCCATACGATGTCAGGGGGCAAAATTATCGTTCTTTCCCCTGCTGCCCTTTCTACCTTTTTCCACCATTCTTTTCAGGCCTGGAACTAGCCCTGTTTCCATATGGAAACACTAAGGAGAGGATTAGAAAGTAAAACTTGCTCTTCGGGCAGAAACAAACATTTGTTTTTCACTTGGTGCTCTAAACACTCTGGGACTTAATAGCTCAGGTCACTCTTCCAGAAAGACAGCACCCAAACAAGGTGCCACACCTTGGCTACCCATCTGGAGCATGCCTGGCTTCTCAGCTGGACTCAAGGAAGATACTGGGGCTGCCTGGCCTTTGTCCTGCCCAGGCGGATGAGCTACCCTAGACTACAGCTACGTGGAAGCATGCCTCTCTCCCACACTGAGCAGACTCCCACCAAGCTGAAAAATAACTCCCACCCTCTCTGGCCACACTCCAACAACAAACATTACTGATGACACAGGTTGGGGTGTTTGTTTGTTTGTTGGTTTGGGTTTGGTTTTTTTTACCTGATGAAGGGGACATGATACGGTCGTACAAAGATGAAAAGACAGACACCAACAAGCTGTGCTGATGTCAGCTGAATATAGCGATGAGTCCTGGAAATAGCTTTTTGAAGCTGCTCTCCCCACATTTTTCTATTTGTTGTACTGGAAAAAAAAACATAAAATCATTTAATGGAATCAAAACAAACCACACACAAACAATAAAATGAGCAGATTAACCGTGCCTTACGTTTATAGACATCCCATGGATGAATGGCAGAGACAGATAGTATCTCCTTGTGAGCCCAGGCTCAGCACGCACAGAGTTATCTTGCTTCTGGATGGGAGAGGGATTTTGTCTACTATCCTGAGAAAGATCCATGCTCACATGGTGTTTGATAACCCCATTCACTGGGGATAACTGGAAGCTAAGTGTAGTAATCATAACCATAAAAGAAAAATCCACATCAATCTTGTAAGATTTCTTGTGTTCATAGTGAAGAGGAGACCTTCTCTGGTTGTCCTCTGACTAGGAGATGACTGGCTACCCACAGCTGTTAGTTGTTCTTAGCTGAAGGTTTGTCGTTGGTGCCTCTACCTTTATTTCTGCAGATCTAGGTTTGTCATATCTCCAAAGTCAACCGAGACATGCAGATACAACACCAGCCCAGCACTGGTGTAACTTGTCACTCCCGAAACAGAAAAATAATTAGCCAGCCTGATCAAACAGCTTTGGAATCATTATCTTCAGGGTTCCACCCTGATTCAGAATCAAAGGAACTGATATACATAACAGCCTACTGTATAAGCCAACATGCCAAGCTCAGGCTTTGCTTTTAACTTCTCTAGCCATAATTTTCACAAACACAATTAGCCATAGAGACATTTCATTAATTTCAGAATTCCCACATGAATGCCAGTTACTTTTGTAGTCACCGAGCACATTGTCCAACATCAGACAGGGTTTTAAAGGCAAGTGTTACATCAATGTCAGTATCAGAATTCTTTTCTGCCAACCTAAAGGCTTAAGAAAGCACAGTGTACTCTACTGTACAGAAGTTCACAGAGATATGGCACTTTCAACACCATCCTAGTACCATTTGTTAATGGCAAACAGCTATGATTACCAGCAACAGACAGGGAAATATGTATTCTGAATATCTGTCCATAAAAAAGAACAACTCTGGAGGCTTTTGTTGGGCTGGTTCCTTGGGAGAGACAATGGTCTTTTTCAGTGTATGTGTGTGTGTGTGTGTGTGTGTTTTGAGTTGTGGGTTGGGGTTTGGTTTGGTGTTCTTTTAACCTACCTGGCATTCACAATATTCCCTGCACTTAATTCAACCATCTCTTCAAATCCCACTGCAAATATGTCAGGAGGGGAATTCTCATCATCTGTTGGCAAGAAGGAAAAGTCACAGAAGAGTTACTATTCTGTTGGGTTTTCTAAGGACTTGTTTTCTAATTTCCGACAGAGATGATTCCTGTGGTTCCATCCTGTGCATCCCCTGCCAAGCTATACATATTCATAGCTCCTTTAATCTAATCTCACAAAACAACCCCTGCAGTTCCTATGAATTTTTTTTCCTGCTTTTCTCCCATCAGTTGGTCTCCATCTCTCTTGCAGGATGCAGTTCAGAGCAGAACATTGTAGTACAACAATGTTAAGATGAGGAAATATTCAATGTCCTCTCTCCCTCACTCCACTCATCACTAAAGCCCAACATCTCACTACCCACCATCTTTCACTCACTTGTCACCTTGGGTAACCCAGGATGCTTTTCCTTTTTGACACTGATTTCTATGTAACTGAACTGTCCAGACACCAGTATGTCACCTCTACCTCAATGCCGTCAGTAAATTTATCTACTAGTTGAAGGAGGCTTCCAAAGTTTCTTCTTATCTTCTTTCCTCTGAGTCTCTTATATCACCCATACTTAAGATTAGGTCACTCTAGAACACAGTAATCCTCCCTTCCCTGGACCAGGCCTATGGATATTATCCTGGGTAAAAATCCAAAGAAAGATCAAATGCTCTCATATAACAGTGTGAAATTGTTAACCCATCAGGTCAGTCCATTGCCTAAGGACACTTTGGGTTCTTTTTATTTTTTAAGTATCATACGGCCAATGTAACAGTAACTTGGTTCAACATGAAGATCTAAATAGTAGACAGCCCCAGGAACCTAAATCAGATCTGCCTCAGAAAATAAGAACAGAAAGACAATGAAAATATGCAGTAACTCTCTGCAGACACAAGGGTGAAACTAGCACATGGTAGGTAGCCTCCTTTACTGGCTCAACGTGGCAGGCACTGTGAGATGTGTGTTTCCCAGTAATAATTTCAGGCATTTGGCTTTGAACGCTTGCCCATTTGTGCAGACACTGCACTGACACTACCACGAGCAGAGAGATCTGAGTGGCCACCCCCCAGCTCTGCCCACTGACCTAACTCAGCTCTCTTCCAGAAGCTGCGCAGGCCTCTCACATTATGGCTGCCTGTGCCACGTAGTCCTGCTCCTCTGGTTCTCTCAGGGGAAGGCCTGGGGCAAGGCTAGCCTGTGACAGGCTCTCAACAAATTTTAATATCATGGGCACAGTCACATGTTAATGCATCTAAACTGTTTCTGAAACAGACCAGACCAATCACCCACCTAAGCTGCTCTGAGCACAGTGGTCTGCACTTCATCATGCATCCATGCAGTCAAGCACTAAGGGTTCAAACAAGTTGAGGAATGAATTCCTGAACTTCGAGGGTAGGCACAGGCATCCCTGTGACACCTGCACGAAGCTAAATGGTTCACTGTAACAGCAAAAGCACAGGTTTTGCCATAGTTTTGCAACCACTCGATTTTTAAATGACAGAACATTCACTTCTCATTTTCCTTGATAAAACCTGTAAATCAGTTACAATGCCTGACCTTGTTCTGCAAATAAGAAATTCAGTGGCCAATTTAGGCAAGCCAAGAGCACAAGTGCTTTCTATACTGCTAAAAAAAAGGAAATGGCCTTCAACAAAATAAATCTTTTAGTCTGAAGGTTTTGACAGTAACATTTCCAGACAATCTCAAGAGTTCAGATTGTACAGATCTGTTTAGCTCTAGATGAAGACCAAGGAGACATTCTGAGGGCACCGAGGCATGTAGCTCCTGCTCACAATAAAGAAAAAAGACCAGGGATATAGAAGAAAAGTGCAGCATGGGATGCAGAGTAGGCAGATACACCCCATGGCATGAAAGACCTCCAAATTCTGACCTGCTGAAGGTTCAAAGCAGTCACATAGTATATACTCTGGAGTCGTCCTTACTGTCAGGAGCCCTTCACACACCGTTCCACTGCTGCAGGAGGCAGCATAAGCCTACATGGACTGGAGTACACCCCTGAGAACTGACAGAAGTGCCCTCCAAGATGCACTGCCTTTGAATGGAACAGCTGGTCAAATCTTGTATCCCAATTCACTGTCTCTAGAGAACACTGCTTATGCTTTTTGTCTGTGAAGTCTTACCCTGAAACTCAGAAACTCCAGAGAGCTTGGGAGAATCCAGCAGCCAGTCTGTCAGCTCACTGGTGCCAAGGACATTGCTTCGAAACTGCTTCCCCCCATTCACGTTCCAGGTCCCCGTGGCAACACGAACACGCCTGAAGCTTGTGAATTCAAACTGACGCTCTGACATGGCCTTCAAAATACTGGGAGTTACTGATGGAAACAGGGAGAGAGAAAGTGGTTGTGTGAAAGAAGAATGTGCTGGAAAAGGACAGAAAGTGTACAGACAGCAGAGACACAGTCATGATAAAATATTGAGATTACCCTATCAGCAACAACACAAAAACTAAGGAATAACTCCAATGGCAGTAACTACAAGGAACTGAGGTTGATGTCAGCAATTTCTTGAAGGCAGGTCACTCACTTTCAGCATACGTTTTCTTCTTCCTCCCTTAATCTTTTCAGTTTAGCCTACAGCAATCAAGCATGTCACAGATTGTGACTCAGATTGAAGCTCTAAGAAATTCAGAGCGTGCAGGGAAAGGGAGAGAACAGCACATAGTCTCACATCAATCCAAAACTAGCACTGTCATGCTGCTCTAGCCTGGTCAGAACTCCTGACAGGAAACTGCTATATTCACTTACTTCTGATGAGTATAGAAAATCAGCAGTGTGGTTTTTTTTGTGTGAGCAACTGAGGTCACCTTAATCTTTAACTACCTGATTTGCACTGGCAGCCAGGTGTAGAGAAGCTATCTATATTTTCCTTATGGTCCACATCAGGAAACAGCTCTAGGACTGAAGAGGCAATGAATGGTTCAAGTCTATTCTATTCAAAACCGGTGGTTCTCTGGAGCAAACTGAACATCTGATACTAATTGTGGGTACAATTATCCTATATTTTGCAAGCAAGTACCTTATCAGAGACAATTAAGTTGGCTTAGTCTAGATGGGGACAAAGAAATGTGTTTATGTTATAGAGTGTCAAGGCCACGGAGTAAAGCATGCAATGAACTAACATAGCAGCACAAATGTGTATTTGAAGATCAAAATGGCTAAAAACACATGCAAAATGCAGGCCAAAAAATAAGGAGATAAAAAGTCTGAGCTCAATAGCTTTCCTCAAGACAAACTCAGATGGAACTAAACTGGGAATATAGCCCTAAAATCACTCCTTCTCATCCAACTCCTCTAAATTGTCAGATGAGACAATCAAAGAGCTGACATACTCAGAAGTCCAAAACAAAATATAAGAAATAAGCTCAGGGGAATTAAAACACACAGAGCTGTACTATGGTCACTTGAAGGCAGTGTTTTAAAAAATAGATTTGTGCAAAAGTAGCTTATATATTGATTTATTTTCAAAGGTTGCAAATTGCTTATATCTGACAACTAAAAAAAGACACAAAAACAAAGCCAAGGTTTTACATTGAACTTACCCAGCAGTGCAGTTTGGTCCATCAGCATCTTGCCTTTGTCTGCATATTCCTCACTGAAGAAGTCACCCATAAGCAGCAACTCGATGGCTTCCTGCTTTACTGCATCGAAGAAATTTGACTGAATGGTGCGAGACACAGAGCGGGCACCATCTTTGAGTTTCCCAACCTACATCAGACAGGGATCACCAGCATAAGTGACGTTGAAGAGTAAATCAGGCATCTTTCTTTACCTGTGAGAAAACAGTTTTGCCATTCTTCTTTACCTTGTGCTTCCCCTCAAGGGCACGACTGCCAGTAAACACTCTACTCAGATTGTGACCGTTGAGAGTCCACATTGCTTTATAGGATTCCACAAAGCGCTCAACTACAGATTTAGAGTTCAACCCAAGGCTCTCTAACTGGGCAAGCAGGATCTGGATTAGGTGCAGAAGGAAAGAAAACAACAACAACATTGTTCTTAGATGTGTTTTTGCTTTTTATCCTCAGTTTAAGTATGCCAGCTCAGCCAGCACCATTCTGTACCATAGAGCTTGCAAGACAGACTTGTATAATTCATGCTTATGCCCTCTGTCCTGTCCTGGCCATGGAACAGACAACGTATGCAGTACGGGCATCATCCACGTCAGGTGCTCTGACAAACTCACCTCCAGGGCAACGAAGGACTGTACACTATTGGTACGATCCAGGCAGTCCAAACAATTCATTCGAAAAGTACCTGTCTGCAGACTTTGATAACCAAATGCAAAAAGAGGGAGGGGAAAAAAGGTATATTTTAAAATAACATCTAATTATGAGTTGATTTAACAAGATCAAGCAACATTCAGCCTGATTATACCCATCCACATTTTGACAGTGCACAACGTATTCCATTAACATGTCTAACTACTTTCCATCTGCAACGCTGTATTAGCAAATCCTTGCATTGGTCGTTTTGCAGATTCCAACCAATGGTGATGCAGTTAAGCCAAATTATCTATTTAGCACCAAGACTACACTTTGTCTCCAAATTGTATTTCAAGACCACCATTTATGTTCATGGTCCAAATGCAGCAAGAAACCTTGGAAGGTCAGGTGGTACCTGGCTATGCTGGGACAGAAGGGTAGGGACACTCACCGTGGACTTACATTCTCGCCCTTTGTGAAGATTCCAAAGTCTTCCCAGTGCAACTTCAGCTGAGGCCTCAGCAAATTTTCCAGTTTCTCAGCTTTCCCACCTTTTGCAAATTGGTGGTAGTCAAAGTTTATCATGGGAGTGTCTGCTGCATGGGAAGAGGCCCACAGCAGTTTCTGTTTAGATAGAGAATGAAGGAAAAAAACTCCTGCTCAAGGCACAATATAAAGATTGATGCCATCATGCTTTTATCATTACTAAATTTTGATTGTTTACCGCATTTTTAATATTGAGAAGTTCACTGGGAATTTTCAAAGGCCAGACATGAAAAAGTGACTGAAGCTCCCTGTTTTTCTTTTCAAAAGTAAGCCGGATTGTCAGACCCAAATTTTTCTGCAGGGGCACTCAAACTATAACTACAAAGTACAAATCAGAATTGCTGCTGTCTGTGCCTTGACTAGTGGCAACCCCACAGCAGTAGGCTCTCGCCTCTGTGAAGGAGGGTGTACAGCAACAGCGATGTTCTGGGTAGAGAAGAAGGACCCTGATGGGAAGAGTGCCCAGAGCTGCTTAAGGCAGAAGAGCATAACAGTGCATACATGTATTTTTTTAACCATTTGTAAAGTGCCAAGACATGGAAAAATGCAGCCCTAAATTTAGGAAGAGGTTGCTTGAGGAGAAACTAAGAAAAAAATTATGTCCCAGGAATATACTACACAATGTTTGTGGTAAACCACAAAAGTGAAAGACGAGGCACAACTAGCCTCATTATTTCATCTCCAATTTCCATGACCTCACATACATTTCTGTAATCACCACAAATTTCATTAAGGTATCTGTAATAGATACGACAACAATATCTTGCTCTCCACAACAAAGCCAGAGAGAACTGTTCTATTAACTCTAATTGTGCAAGCCTTTGCCTATTCTGTTTCCTCCTGCACATTCTCACCCCAAGAGATGGATGCTTTTCCCCGCTTAGACTGTGACACAAACTGAACAAAACAATTCTGATATTCCATTAATAGTGTACATGCAGGAGTTACACCAGTATAATTGTATCGGGTAAGGTATTAAGCCTTCCCCACATAAACAAATTTGTCTGGAGAGAGACGTGCAAAATGTATGTCACGACACTGTTACAAAAGTTGTAACGCTTGGTATCTGCTTCTCTGCTGCTGACACCTCAACTTGCCCTTACAGCTGCTGGCACCGGGAATGCACTCCAGGGTGACATTTACCCATTGCCTCAGCGTAAATCATTGTCAGAGAATCCATAATTCTACACTACAGCACTGCTTTCACTGTAAACATAATTACATCTGCTATAGGGGATGCTTATGAGAGGAACAGCATTACTGGGAACAGTATTGATTTTTGCTCTGGTAACAGCTGATTCAGGTAACAGCTGAAGGCAAGTTGGTCATTTACAATTTTTCATTTGTTCCTGTTGCATAAACAAATAGTAGCAGTGACATTCTGATCGAGGGAACCCAACAGCAGTAATTACAAGGATATTTTGAAATAGTTCTGATAGGAATTACTAAGATTGAAGCAGGAGAAGGGAGAAGATGAAAGAACATGAGCAAAGGAAGATGGAGAAACAAAGAAATAAACTAATAACAGAAAAGGAAAAAAGCTTTCGTACCCAATAATTCCCCTATGAAATAGTTTCTTTTTAATTCAAGCTTTTTAAAAACAAAGTAAAAATTAGCTACATACTCTTTCCAAACACCCATTATTAAACACAAAGGTAAAGAAAAGACCAGGGGGTGGTTGTTCTGAGTGGGTACAAAACTTCAGTTTCCAGTGCTATCAGTCTAAATTCTTTCAGCTCACAGAGCGTTTTAACAACTTAATTTTAAATGTCAATAGTTTAACAATTAAACCATATCTGTATTTAAAATAAAAAGAATGAATTAATGGTCTTTATTCTGGAGATGTCCTGTTTGTGACTTAAATCTCTCTTTGTATGATACTAGCCAGAACACTGTCTTCCAGAATACCAGTATTTGATATCAGTATTAAATTAATAAGAAAAGTCAGATCCGCATCATTGTAAGGTATCTGAGCATTTTGCAGTCAACCATCTCTTACACCTAAATTCCAATGTTGTGCAAAATTAAACTATAAAAACTATTTTAAAGGTAAGGAAATCAAGATATTATGGAGGCTTATCTGTAGAATGCAGAAATTCAGTAGGAAACTGAAAACAGAAGCTAGGACCAGACTTCACTTCTGTACCTAAAGCCTGCAAACTTTAGATGTAATCACTTTCTTTGGCCATGTTCTCTCCAAGGGGAGACTTTCACTTTGCCCCTTTCTGCTGGGGAAGCTGAGAGTCCTCCCCAGCTATTTTGGACAGGGAGGAAATGGTTGCACAGAAAAACTGCCAAAAAACTAAAGACACTTCTTGTCTTGAGTACATTATTCCAACAGAGTGGGAACCAAAACAGGAACTACTGTTTAACTACGATTTTCATTATACTTAGTTTCACACAGTAAACATTTGAACTCAGAATTGTTGTATCATTCTTTACCAATGATAAATACATAACACTTACTACAGGTGTGTACTTTAACCATTCTTCATATCATTCTCAGGAAGATATACTCCAAAGTATCTGTATTAGGTCTCTAAAGCAACAGGCACTCGGGAGGCAGACTTCCATCAACCTCCAGTCAGACCCAGGCAGTTGTGCACTGCTGCAAATCCCACTCTGCCAGTCTGAGGCTTCAAGTAGATATTACTTGCTAAAACCTGGCCACGAGACCACCGCACTAAACCTCACACAGCTTTAATTCTATGATGCCTGACATCTGAAAAGCACAATCCAGATGCTTTCAGGTATTACTTGTGCCTAGGGACGTTTAAGGGCCTGGAAAACCTCTTTCCACACACCAGACTGTCATCTGGTGCTGAGGCAGCCAATTCCCATCACAGTCAGTGCAAGATGGCTATTCCCCACTACAATCAGAGCCAGACAGCTTGTTTGCTCAGTAAGCCAGGGTCAGGGCCTGGCCCCCAAGCAGTTCTGGCTATCCCATGAGGCACCTGACTGCACAGTTGACTATGTACTATGACAAAGCTGACCACGATTCTTTTTTGCAAATATGAACTACTCCTAGGAGAATTAGGGGATTTTTTTTAAGTCTGGTTAAAGAGAATGGTGCATAAATTTGTGAAGAAATAAGCAGGAAGGCAGTGCTGGAAATTAAGCCATGAGACTATGAAGCATCATTCTCTCAGTATGTAATATCTAATAAAGAGTTAACTTTATTTCTTTGGATATGATATTCATCACCTACTGGGTCAGAAGGGAAACAGAAGAACTTGGAGGTTAAGGAGAAATCAGCAGTTAAAAAAAATAAATTGTATTACCTTAAAAGCTCTGTTGAGCACCTCCTCCCCTCCTCTGCTTCCCAGCAGATTAACAATCACTTGTTTTCCATACTGCTCCTTCAGAAGCATCATATGCCTACAAAAGTAAACATAATAGGTACTAAACAAAGCCATGTCATGTTGCCTGCTACCTTTTTCAAGTAGAAGTAGAGATCACTGGTTGTTCCAGCCAGCAGAAAGTTTCAGCCACAGCAGCTACAGACATCATCCTCAGTTTCCTTGCAATCAATTATTAAAGTACAAATGATAAAAGTATGCAATTAATGGGCACACTAGTTTGTACTGAACTTAAACAAGCATCTTAGCAAACAGGCCCCAGATCTTTTATGTCACTGTTAGCTATGATATTGCCCTTTGTATGTTCCCACCTCTTGGCTGTCAGCCTGGGAGCTACATAGGAAAGACAACAAGAGAGTAAAACATATCACACTTCAACAGGAATTGCCCAGCATCTTGCAAGGTTGAGCCTACAAAGTGTCAGCAGCAGCAGTGGGGCTAAGGACTCCAGTGCCAAGGCCAGAGAGGCACAAAACCAAATCACAGAATGATGGAATGGTTTGGGCTGGAAGGGACCTTTAAAGGTCATCCAGTCCAACTCCCCTGTAATAAGCAAGGATGCCTTTAACTACATCAGGTTTCTCAGAGCCACATCAAACCTGTCCTTGAATGTTTCCAGGGATGGGGCAACTACTACCTCTCTGGGCAACCTGTTTCAGTGTCTCACCACACTCACTGTAAAAAATTTCTTCCTTATATCTAGTCTGAATCTACTCTCTTTTAAAGCCACCATCCCTTGTCCTGTTGCAGCAGGCCCTGCAAAAAAGACTGTCCTCATCTTTCTTACAAGCCCCTTCTAAGTACTGAAAAGCCAAAATAAAGTTTCCCCAGAGCCTTCTCTTCTCCAGAATGAACAACCCAAATTCTCTCAGCCTTTCCTCATAGGAGAGGTGTTCCAGATTATTTTTGTGGCCCTCCTCTGGACTCGCTTCAACAGGTCCACATCCTCCTTGTGATGATGGTTCCAGAGCTGGGCAGGGTACTCCAGGTGGGGTAGAGGGGCAGAATCACCTCCCTCAGTCTGCTGGCTGCACTTCTTTTGACGCAGGTCAGAATACAGCTGGCTTTCTGGGCTGCACTTGCACATTGAGAGCTCATGTCCAGCTCTTCATCCACCAGAACCAAGTCCTTCTCTTCAGGGCTGCTCTCAATCCGATCACTCCCCCAGCCTGTATTAATATGGGGCATTGCCTTGATCCAGGTGCAGGTCCAGGTGCCTTTGACCTAGTTGAACCTTATGAGGGTCACACAGGCCCACGTGTCAAATTTCTACAGGTCCCTCTGGATGACATGCTGTTCCTCAGGCAGGCCAACCACACCATTAAGCTTGGTGTCATCTGCAAACTTGCTGAGGGTGCAGTCAGTCCCACTGTCTGTGTCACTGATGAAGATATTAAACAGCACTGGCCCCAGTACTGATCCCTGAGGGACACCACCTGTCACCAATCTACACCTGGACCACTGAACACTACCCTCTGGATGCAACCATCCAACCAATTCATTATCTGCTAACCAGTCCACCTACCAAATCCTTATCTCTCCAATTTAGAGAGAAGGATGCTGTGAGGTGCCGAGTCAAAGGCCTTACAGAAGTCCAGATAGATGACATCCATAGCTCTTCCCTTGTTCACTGATGTAGTGGCTCCATCATAGGCCACTAGATTGTTCAGGTAGGACTTGCTCTTGATGAAGCCACGCTGGCTGTCTCAAATCACCTCCCTGTCCTCCATGTGTCTTAGCACAGCTTCTAGGAGGATCTGTTCCATGATCTTCCCAGGCACTGAGGTAAGGCTAACAGGTTGGTAGTTTCCAGGGTCTTGCTTTCTGCCCTTTCTAACAATGGGTGCAATGTTTCCCTTTTTCCAGTCACTGGGGACTTCACCTGACTGCTACAACTTTTCAAATACCATAGAGAGTAGTGTGGCAACTACATCAGTCAGTTTCTTCAGGACTCTGGGATGCATCTCTTCAGGTCTCATAGACGTACCTACGTTCAAGTTCCTCAGGTGGTCACGAACTTGACCTTCTCTAACAGTGGAAGGGGCTTTCCCACCCAGGGTCCATGCCAGCATCAACTTGGGAAGTGTGAGAAGAGAGGCTGGCAGTGGAGACGGAGGCAAAAATGTTGATTACCTCAGCCTTCTCCTCATCTGTTGTTACATCACGTTATTTCTCGTTGACATAACTGTAGAAGCCCTTATTATTATTCTTAGCACTCCTTGCCAAATTCAGCTCCAGCTGTGCCTTGGCCTTCCTCACCCCATCCCTGCACAACCAGGCAGTGTCACTGTACTCCTCCCAGGATACCTGTCCCTGCTTCTGCTGCCTGTGCAGTTCCTTCTTGACCAGGTCTTGACTCAGTAACACCACTCTTGCCTTCCTTGCTGGATTTCTTACACCTGGGGATCATGAGCTCTTGTGCTCTATGGAAAGCATTATTAAAGATTTGCCAGCTCTGTTCTGCTTCCCTGTCCCTGAGGCCGTTTCCCAGGGGTCCTATTGACTAATTCCTTGAAGAGCTGGAAGTTTACTTTCTTAAAATTCAGGGTCCTGACTTTGCTCCTCACCTGACCCACATCCCTCAGGATTGTGAGCTCCATCAGTGAGCAGTCACTGCAGCCCAGGCTGCCTCCAATCTTGATGTCACCAATTAGCTCACTTGCATTGGTGACCATCAGGTCCACCAACACATGCCATCTGGTAGGGCTGTCCATTGTCTGGATTAAGAAGCTATCCTCCATGCATTCCAGCAGTCTTGGATTGCCTACAGATCACTATGCTACTCCTCCATCAGATTTTGGAGTGGTTCAAGTTCCACTCTTGTCCCAGCAGGGCGAGAGCCATGAAGCCTCCTGCAGTTGGAGTAATAAGTCTTCATCAACAGGCTCCCCTTGATCAGGCAGCCTGTAGTAGACACTGACCACAAGGATCCCTTTGTTGCTTTGGTCTCTAATGCTTACCCATAATCTTTCAAATTGGTCATGGTTACGCTTCAGAGACAGCTCAAATATCATAGGTGGCAGAGTTTAAACATCTCTGAGCTACTGCAACATTGAGACATTTATTGTCAATTTAAAGTAGGAAGGTAAATAATCATAAGAAATGCTGTGCTCGATCAGACCAAAGGTCCTTTTAACCAAGCGGCTTGGCCCAGATTTTCAGGAGAAGCACAAAACGGGACAAGTATAAAGTGGGAAAATTTTTTTGGCATACATCCCCAACCTCTCAAAGCCTGACATTTAGGCAGTCTGAAGTCAAGAGCTTTTAGCCACATGCAGAGGCACCCACCCTCCCCTCAATAAATTTTTTTCAAGTTGCCATGCGTGTGCTACAGAAGCTGTGCTGGCTCACCAAGAAAAAAATCAGATCTTAAAGCCATCTTCCACCATGTACTTACACCACCGTAGTAGTATTTAAGAGGAAGCTGGATAGGAATAGACAAGAAAAATAAAGACAAAAATGAAAACCTATTACATGCTGCACAGCAACACCCAATAGCAAAGTGTCAGAAAAACAGCAAGCACAGATCTTTTGGCATGCACTTTTAAATCCTATAGGCAGAAATACTATTTGAAACCATGGAAGCAGAGAAAGGAAAGAAAAAGTTATCAGCATGGCCTTCAAGAAACATGGCAAAATAAATATTCTGGTGCTATTTATGTTCCTGATTCTGCAACTAGTTCTCTGTATGCCAGCTATTCCTATATATTTGCTCCCCTCTGATGCCAGCATCAAGACCCTACTTCTCCATCAATGCTGTGTCCTTACTACTAAACTGCTGAAGTTTGGATCACCTACTTGAATACTGTAAGCAGAGTTTCCCAAGGATTTCTCAGGGAGAAGGGACAAAAAAGATCCACTAACAAGATTATCATTTACTTCCTACAGTGCCTTCTCAACACATTAACCTATCAGGTAATTAAATATAACAAGCTAAATCCACTCCAACGCTCTCACAAAAGTTGCATCAGGTTGTTAGGTTTCAGGATCTTTTTCCATATAAGCAGTCACTTATTCCTTGCCCATTGTCAAAGGACTGTCTTTTGTAGATCTGTAAGCAGAGATCTCTTAACTTATGTAACCTAAAGGTTTTACTGTGCACAAGGGAGGAGGAATAGTGTTCATGTTTCTTACAAGAAAGCTATTCACCAGCTGCCTCCTGCATCAGGGGCAGTGAGAAAAGATTCTCTGAGCTAAATGGTCTTACGGAGTTGTTCCTTGCTGAGGTACTCAACACTTTCTTGGGCACCACAACAGGATGCTGAATAAGTCACTGTTTTCTTCCTACATAAACTGTCTCTGCTGTGGAATGCACACTCCCAAGATGGAGCTTCAGAGACACTGGCAGGGCAAGTTATCATGGCATCAGATGACAACAAGACCACGACTCTCAAAGGCTTTTGAATTCAGTAGAAGAGCTTCAAAAATCTTGGAGAACGTAGGCTAAGACCCCTTGGAGCAGGGACTGCTACGCTACATAGACCCTTTAGACTCTAATCCCTTTTTGGGGTCTTCAGTGTTGCAAAACAATCAACAGTGACTATTTTCATGTTTGTTAACAGCTGCAGTAAAAGAAACCAAGGAATTAAGAGGCCTTATGCAAAATCAACATAAACTCTGATTTGGCAAAACCAAACCAAAACAGAAATTAATCACATGACCTGGCACTTAACAAGCCGAAAATTTCCTACAGGCCACATTCTTCATGTCCTTTTCAGGCAGTGTTCCCACTGACATGCATGGTAGTCTGCCCTTAAAGGACAATACTTCATAGTCAGACATTCAAAGGAATCAAGCCTATGAATGGGGTTTTTTTATAGTTTCCACTGACAAGAAGAGTCTTAATGGTTCAAAAATGTTTACAAGCCAGTCTAAGCAAAGTAGCAAAGCATCAGCATGATAACATCATACAACATTGCTCATAAAATAAGACACTTATTTCTGTATAGCACTCAAACAATGAGGAGAAAAGCAAATTCAGAATGGAATGGAAGCAGTGTTTACTTTCTAATTACCTGGGTTACAGTGGGAGAGGACACATGTTCTGCGTACCTCTAGCGTAAATTCACATTTGTTGGCTCACAAAGGATTATACAGACCTGCCCTTTGCATAACACTCAGTATTTCTTAGCTTTTACAGAAACAAGCCAGGAGACCAAATTAATTCAATTACCATTGAAAACAAGAAAGAAAATGCACAAAAAATCATTCATAAATTGAGCAAACCCACTTAATGATCTGCAACACCTGGGGGACTGGCTATATCATCTGAGAGATGTTTCACATCACTCAGGAGTTACTTGGAAGCCATGAAGTTGTGGAATCTTGGTTACATGCCAGGCTGCTGTGTTATTGTCAAAGTGGAATGAAACTTACCTGTCAAAGGCAGGAGCATTAGCTTCCAGACCTCTGTTAAGCCTTAGATGATAAGAACCCACCTAAAATAAAATATTGGAAGGAAAAGAGAAATAATTTCTTAAACTGTTAGGAGTCCTAAATCACTAGATGTCTCCCTTTTTCCTTCAGAGAAAAACACCTCTTTAACATCACCAGACAATTCTAACAGACTCCACACACCCACACATATAATATACTTAATACAAAAGCCACAGCTTTTATTAGACAACAACATTTACAATTAGAAGTGAAAACATAATTATCATTAAGCAAAGGGATACATCTCTTTATGGCCAAAAAAATTACATCCCTTCGCCAGCTTCCTCTAGCAAATATCCCACAGTGCCTCACATGGGTATGCTGTGTGCCCAGCATTCTTCCCACCCTTCCCTCCGGAGAAAAGGTTGCAGTTATGCCAGTTCCATGGGCTGAGTCTCCCGAGTTCTTTCATCACTTACTAAAAAGTTTCAGACCAGTCCTTTGAAAATATGGAGGATGAAATCCTGGGCCATCAATATAATAGGACTTTTAATATGGCTGTCAGCAACAGTAGCCTCAACCTCCTTTTGAATACATTACTACACTATGCAGAGGGCTTCTTTCCTTTCCAAAAACTACACTGCTCATTATTTATAGGATCATGCATAGTTTCCTGTACTTCATCATCTTCCTTTGTTTTTCATGAGGTTGGTTTCTGCAGTTCTTTCTAATATCAGTGCCAGCACACTCACATCCAAGGAATAAGGGTTATGGGTATTCACCAACATAAACGAAAGGCGTAAAATCTAAACCAGATTAGGCAAAAAAGCAAATTGTGTCTCTACCAAAAAGCTGAAAATTCTGCTTAACTACATGCCACTCACTAGCCAAAAACACTTGGGGAAAAGAAAAGCTCTATGGTTTCATAACATACGGAACAACAGTGCTGGATACAGCTGCACCATGGGCAGGACGTGTGCACAAGCATACAGGCAGACTTGCTTTATAAAAAGAAGCAAGTATTGCACTGGATGGTGCTAACAGACAACGACACAGATCCCTCAGTCATCTTCCTTTTGCGTTAAACCCAGTAGTTCTGAATGGTATCCAAGTGCTAGATTTAATGCTAAAAAAAGTATTAAAGTATCTAATTTAAAGTATCTAAAAAAAAGCTCTATTATGTATTCTCTCTACTAACATATATGGATATATCTGCATATTCATTCCAGTTGCTTATCCCTCTGTTAAGAGAATGCAAAGAGTGCTAGGATGATTTTTATTTGAGCTTGTAACTGTATATAAGCTGTAAATTTTAGACCATATATATAACCTGCTAGGTCTGATACAATAATCTCCTGACGAAACCCTGTATCTCTGGCGATCATATGAGATCATCCTGACTACCACCCTTTTGACTGAAATCTAGCAAATACACCATCAAGACATTATACTTTGTTTCAAGGTAACGGGCTCCTGCACAGCTCCTGGTAACCCTAGACACTCCAATTTTATTGTAGAGGTCAATATCATCAAGCCAACCGGGCATTTCAGAAGCAAAGGTTATCCCAAACCAAACTGAAAATGTTACAAAGATATTGCTGTAAGCTTCAGCTTAGGACATTAGGACATAGTCCCTTACAAATAGTTCCCTGTAAAGGCACAGGAACACATGAAAATGCTAAACTTAACTATAGCCATTTGTCTAGTTTAGCTCTGTTTATGTAAATATGCAAGATTTCCTACAAGGTTAACTTATGATCAAAAAGCTCAGCATTTTCACAGAGTAAGCTCTGCAGCTCATTTAAAAGAAAAAGCAATTAAATTTTGTCTAAGTTCTAAACTATAAGTAGCAAGAGAGATAAGTAAAGTAGGCTTTTTGATTAATTGTTTACCTGAAGCCCCGGCTGCTCCCAAAACAGTGGGACAGAACCTCTGATCTGCACAAAGGAAGAGACATCATCATCCAAGTAAATTGTCTGCAAAGATAATAAAAAAAAGGAAGGAGTTCTACAGTTAGACCTATCAGTCTGTGACCCCGTCATCAGGTGACAGTTTAAGACACTGAACTCAAAGGGTAAAAAAAGTAACCCATGTATCTCACTGTATCCACTTACTGCTCAGACACTCTTCCATAGTCTGACAGGCAGTGGAACAAAGCACAACATATTTGCTTTCATGTCATCACACCAGATTCAATTCACTACTCACCAGAAATAAGAGAAAATTTAAAATGCCACCACTGTCAAGAAGGAAGGAATCTTTCACCCACAACGAAGATATATTTGATCTACTTGGGGAGACACTCAGGAAGATCAGCCATAGACTCTCCCTCTGTCTCTCTCACAAAATCTAACTGTGCAAAATGTCACTGGTCCTTGTGACCGATGATGGGTAATGTCAGGTGTGGGATAAGCTTCTCTCTTGCTTTATTTACTATTTCTTATTTCACTGCATGTTGTGCCTTGTCAGAGTCCAAATAAATCTCAGTGAAACCAGCAGCTTCACCACTCCCACTCTGAGATACAGTGAACCATATGTGATCTACTTTTCCAGCAGGCTTAGAGCAAGAGGCTCCAAACTCCCCACTTCCCTCCCTAAGCAGACCCCAAACTCTCCCTTAGGATTTGTTCTTATGATCACTGCTAACAGGCTGATTTTGAGTCAAATCCATGCAAAGTACAGTCTGATTTTCCCCTTTGCCTTCCCTCTCCACCAGCCCCTGAGCAAAGCATTACATTATGTGTTAACCTCACACAAAAGGTACTATCTTCAGATTCAGTCTGACCACAGAGCAACTGTGCAAAGCCCAGCTCACCGCCCTGGCCTATACTTAGCAGTGGAATCCTGGCTCTTTTCCACAGGAGATACATGATACACATCTCATGCATGACAATGACCCCTCTGTAGCCCTGCAAAGGAATGGTAACCAGGTCATCCAGGTAGCTGCTTCTCTAACAGCATGTATTTAGCACAACTGTCTAGTAGCTCCCAAAAATAGAAAAGAACATGAAAATGGGTTACTCTAAAGTTTTAATGGGGTTTGTGCTTCTGGATTTGCCATTAGGTGTGCTAGCTGGGTGGCTCAGGGGAAGTGCCTTCATTTACACTGATCTCTCATCTTTAGAGCCGCTACTGACACACAACTTTTACAGCTACCTGTGTGAAAAGAAGTATAGCTACACCAGAAAGGTGGCTATTTAAACATTCTGTCACCAGTTTTATGTAACTCACTTTTAGAATATTTTTGCAGAACACTTACAGCCATCCCCATTTCACTAAGAGGAAAGGTTTAAGTGGCTTTGCCAGGGACACAATGTCAGTGCTAGAATGACAGCTAGCCTAGATGTAGTGCAAACATGCGTGTTCCGACGTTTTCAGCCTCACCCCAATGAATTAAGAACCCTTCTCTGTTGGATCGCATGCTAGCACAACCCCTTGCAAGATAGGGTGGCTCACAGAAGCTTTCTTGCAAGGCCTTCCTCACAGTTTGAGTAGTGTGGCTCTAAAACACTCTCTCCTAGTAAAGTTTTCTAAACGCTGCTGGTATCTGAGTACAGGAGCTAATTACCATGGCAACACGCTGATGCACCTTTTCTTTGCATTTCTGTGCTCAGAAGAGTTCGTCCTGCAGTTGGACTACGGGAGAAGGAAGCAGGCCCACCTTCCTCCTCATCACATCCTCCCTGAGACGGGTCATACCAAGATGAGTCAGTGACTTCTAAACACTGAATCTTCTTTCCACTCAGTCATGGACCCAGAGGAGCCAATTCTAAGGTAAAGCAGATTTGTGTAGCTCCACTGACAGCCCTAGCATTATCCTGACTCATATTAAAGGAGGATCAGGTCCCAGGTCTATGCAAAAATAGAATCGGGACTGGCTCAATTCAAAATTTGACAATTATCACCTTTAGCAATAAATGAGCTGAAATGAAACATCTAATGACAAATATAGACAAAGCTTTATATGAAGTACAGTTTGGCCTCTCAGCTTGCTAAAGAGGATCAGTTTTCTTCACATTCTTCTAGAATATCCCTATTTCCATAACTAACTGTAAAATCAACAGTTCAAGTATCTTTTTGGCCAGCTCTTTTATAAGTCCCATCTGCAAAATTCCCTAGACGCACTCATTAAAAGATAATAATAATAATTTTAATATCTGCAGTCTAAAATCTTCCTGAGTTACCGTTTAAATGGAAAGTATTTAATCAGTTACAAACCATGAATATATAACCTGCCTTCTTTATGCCAGATACAGAAGAAAAAACACTTCTTCATGATTCAACAGCATAAGAGTTAACAGATAGTTGTTACTATTATCACTCTCATTTTCTGTTCACTGGTTTTCACCCATTACCTCTTCTAATTGTTTTCTGCTATATTAAGCTGTCTGTTTGGAGAACTGAACAATGACCCCCCAAAAAATTCAAACTACCCCTGTGATCTGAACAGGCTGCCCACACACTGATGTGATGGGCTGGGGGTCCTCTGTCAGGATGAGGTCTAATACAGAACTCCCCTATGATGATAGGGCACTTTAAAGAAACTGACATTTTAATGCACATTGCCATGTAGCTTTTAGAAATTCAGATTAAGTTTTTGAACTGGGACCATGGTCTCTCCAACACAGCCGTTCACAAGCAAATTCTCCACATTATCATGTATTTTTTTTCTTTTCACTTAGAGGGCTCACCATTCCATTCTCTGGAGAAATTCTGTGATCTTTCACAATTCTCTCACCTCATACTCATGACCCAGATGAGTCCAAAATTATTTTCTTCCAAGTTTCCAGTGAGTTGGAAAAAGACCTAGTATTTTTTAATGAGTGGGAGAATAATACCCTTTTCTGCCACTCATTCCTTCCCAAATAGACTGAAACCTTTTCACTCAGCATTTCAACTGTGCAAATCTTCCCTGAATTTCAAGAATATCCACTACCCTCCAGCTCCAGGAAAACAATCCCTGGTCTCAACATTGCCTTCTACTACATATGCCCCTTGACCTTGCAATAGCAGCAACAATGGCCTCCCTACCAGCAGGCTTGTTAAGGGAGCAGGCTGAAAGACTGATACCAAGGCTTTCCAGTTCAGGAATGGATGGAGTCTTAACACCCATCTACACTACAAGAAACCCCATTTGTTAAAATCTTAAATAAGCACTGAAAATACATCCAGGTTAAAATGACACTCAAAAGATTCCAAATTCATTGCGTATGCAATTACAGCATTTATGCATAGTTAAGTAGAGAATTTCTCTTCTCATATTTTTCTAAGCCTTGGTAGCCTAGATAATTTTTTGTTCACATCATGTTTTCTATAAGCACATACATGTCCCACTTTTTGTCAGTCTAGGTTTGACCGTATTACTTTGTCTTCTAGCAGAACCATTTCTCTTATTCTAAGGCACCACATCAATGATAAACAGCTCTTTAAGAAAAGAAACTTAAGAGAAAAATATAGCACCTTTTTTTCCAAAATTTTCCTGTCCTCTCCTTTCCTTAACTTGAAGACAAAAAACACATCCAAGATGATCACACCAGTATTCCTCTAAAAAGTTCCACAACAATCAGTTGCATTTTAGAATCACAGAATCATAGAATGGTTTGGGTTGGAAGTCACCTTAAAGATCATCTAGTTCCAACACCCCTGCCATGCACAGGGACACCTATAACTAGACCAGGTTGTGCAAGGCCCCATCCAACCTTGTCTTGAACACATCCAGTGATGGAACATCCACAACTTCCCTGGGCAACCTGTGACAGTGTCTTGCCACCCTCATACTGAAGAACTTCTTATATCTACCCTCTTCCTGTGTGAATTCATTACTTCTTGTCCTATCACTACAACCCATTCTAAAATGTCCTTCACCAGCTTTCTTGTAGGTTCCCTTCAGATACTGGAAGGCTGCAGTAAGGGCTCCCCAGAGCCTCTTCTTCTCCAGGCTGAACCACTCCACCTCTCTCAGCCTTTCTTCATATGCCCTCTGATCATTTTTGCAGCATTCCTCTAGACCTGTTCCAACAGGTTCATGTCCTTGTGCTACGGACTTCAGAGCTGGGCACAGTACTTCAAGGGGTCTCACCAGAATGGACTAGAGTGACAGAATCGCCTCCCTTGGCCTGCTGGCCCCACTTCTTTTGATGCAGCCCAGGATAGGGTTGGCTTTCTGGGCTGCATTCGCACATTGTTGGCTCACGTTGAGCTTTTCATCAGCCAGCATCCCCCAAGTCTTTCCCCTCAGGGCTGCTCTCCATCCATTCTCCACCCAGCCTGCAGTTACGCTTGGGATTGCCCCAACCGTGTTGCAGGACTTTGCACTTGGCTTTGTTGAACTTCATGATGTTAGCATGGGCCCACCTCTCAAGCTTGTTAAGGTCCCTCTGGATGGTATCACTTCCTTCCATCATGTCAACTGCACCACACAACTTCATGTTGTTGACAAATGTCCAAGGGTGCCCTCAATCCCACTGTCCACATCCTGAACAAAGAAGTTAAACATCATTGATTCCAGTAAGGATCCCTGAGGAACATCACTCATCACTGGTCTCCACCTGGACATTGAGCCATTGACCGCATCCAGCCAATTCCTTATCCAGTGAGTGATCCACCCATCAAATCCATGTCCCTCTGATTTAGAGACCAGGATGTTATGCAAGACAGTGTCACACACTTTGCACAGGTCCAGGTAGATGATGTCAGTTTCTCTTCCCTTATCCGTTGACACTGTAACTCCATCATAAAAGGCCACCAAATTTGCCCTTAGTGATGCCATGTTGGCTGCCACAAACCACCTCCTTATTTTCCAAGTGCCTTAGCAGAGCCTTCAGGAGGATTTGCTCCATGATCTCACCAGGCACAACGGTGAGACTGACCGGTCTGTCGTTGACACGGTCTTCCTTTTTTCCCTTTTTGAAAGTGGGGTTTATGTTTCCCCTTTTCCAGTCAGTGGAAGCTTCACCAGACTTTCGTGGCTTTTTAA